AGAGAGAGAGAGAGAGAAAAGAAAGAAAGAAAGAAAGAAAGAAAGAAAGAAAGAAAGAAAGAAAGAAGAAAGAAAGAAAGAAAGAAAGAAAGAAAGAAAGAAAGAAAGAAAGAAAGAAGGAAGGAAGGAAGGAAGGAAGGAAGGAAGGAAGGAAGGAAGGAAGGAAGGAAGGAAGGAAGGAACTATTTAGGGCACATGGATTTTCTTCCCTTTCTCTTCCAAAGGTTTGATTATTTTTTTATTATTGTTGTTGTTGCTGTTGGTGGTGGTGTTGACACAGTCAGCCAGATGTTGGAGTCAGCATTTTTATCCCAAGGACCTGGGATAGGCAGATGTGGGTGTTTGATGTTGTCACCTGTACATTATTGTTGCAGAATGGAAGCTGTTCCAGGTAGAGCTGCCTCTTGCAACTGACAGGTGGGGATTTTGTCAAATGTCGATGGTGTTCAAGGGATGTTCCAGATGCTTTGAGGTTGCAGCACCCAAGGCTTCTGTGACTAAGCGGACTCTGTCTTTGCTTTCTCTTGCCACCGTCATTCTGTTTCCATTTGCAGGTCTTTATATTGAGTGATTTTTCTCTAGTTCTTTTTCTTCCCTTCTTCTGTCTCCAGGTGCTGCTCTGTGTCCACTATCCAGTCTTTTTTTTTTTTTTGGGGGGGGGGGGGGTCATTCATTCTTATCAAAAATAGTTAGGCCTTGGGGTATTATGTGACAGGTGCCTGTTTGTTCAAATTCTAAGCTCCCAAAGTTCTTTAGCTTCTTTATTTTCTATTACTTGTCTATTTGGGGGGAGAGTGCCAGTTCTTGCTTGCAGGCCAATGGCCCTTTTTATAGAGATTTCAACGCACCCTTGTTGCTACTTTGTCATGTCATTGTTTGTAGTCAATCTGTGCAATCTTCTGGCACCAGCTGACTTGTATTATTAAGGATAATATTTTTATTGTGATATCAGGTGATAGATTTCTCAGATTAGCAGAGGCTAACTAATGCCTCCGTGACTCCTTTGGAGGCAGTTGCCTTAACTGAATGCCTCTTTGACTCCCCATTTTGACACATTTAAAGGACTTTTGTATTCAAGGACAGACCCAAGGAAAGAGAGAAGGAGGAAGGATGTTTTCTGAGAGAGATTCAGTTGCTTATTAAAAGAAAGACATGCCATCCTGCTTTGATCCACAGATTTGTAGAAAACTCAGGTGATGCAGGGATCAGGATATTTATCTAACTTATCAACACTCTTGTTTCCCAAGAGTCTCAAAGGCACGTTGTGGGGCTTCAAAGTGGTGTTTAACTGAGAAAGGCTGGTTTCAAAGGAGGAAGATGGTCCTTTATTGGGTTTCTTCCTTGCTTTTTCTCTGACCACTTTGGACAGTGAAGAGACAAGAAGTTACAGTCAATACCAGCAAACATAACCTCATCCCCTGAGAGACCTTAGAGAAAGTTCAGGCTTATCCTCTTATGTTCTTCCATAGCAGAATCTCTCGGTCTAGGTCAGATAATTTCATGGTGCAAGGATGCCATGGGCCCTTTTGAGTAGTGCAGAAGGAAACACCCCCTGTGTAAATGGTCTAAATGGCAAACCCTGAATTTGATCTACTGCAATTGACATGCAGCCAAAATTGCATCCCATCCTTATGGTTAATGTTTGTCATTCTCCCTGTGCTAACAATGTTTTCCTTTTGTCCTGTTTTGGAGACAGTCTGGTAATGGTTTAAACTAAAGGTTCTCTGCAGGAAGTGGAGGAGAGTAATCTGATCCATAATGTACACGGTGAAAATAATCAAGCAATGAACATTAAGGCTGCTTAGCTTTCAGACCACAAATAATGCATTATGTAAAAAACAAAAAACTTTGGCAACAACAGTTTCATGGAACTAGACAGTGATCACTGGAATAGTTCAACAGCTCCCATCAGTTTCTGCCTGTTCATAAATATCTGGATGGGAAGGATCCCTATGGGTTCTTATGTTTCGGGAACCTAATTTGCATAGAATGCCAATTAGATGTTTGCTGTTCCATTTTTCTGGAATAATAATACCCTCCTGTTTATTCCCAAGAGTCCAGCGTTTCCAAAAAGTCAAGAAAAAGCTGGCTTTTTTGGTGAGCCTTTGAGGATTTGTGGTGTTTGGGTTTGATTCCTTCTGCAGCAGGAATATATTTTGACAGTTTGGTTTAAGTATTTTGTGCCTTGCTTCGACTTTATTTCTGTGTGAGGTCTGTGGCCTCCTCCGTGTTGGTTGCCGGGGCAAATAGGCTGGGCAAAAAGAATAAATATATAACAGGTGCATGCATAGTAAGTCTAAAGGGGATACAAGCCCAACTATTCATCAGCATTCAGGTACCCTCAATTGGCTTCATCATGGCCAGGATCATGGATGGGTGTGGCAAAAGGCAGCCAAGCTGGCCCAGGTCTTTTCCACTGTTCCAGTGGTAGGATTCAAAATTGTTTACCATTGGTTCTATGGGTGTGGCTTGGTGGGTGTGGCTTGGCTTGGTGGGCATGGCAAGGGAAGGTTACTGCAAAATCTCCTTTCCACCCCACTAACCT